GATAGAGAAAAAAAACAGTATAAAGACAGTATACATAGCCTACACATAATGCTGCACTGTTATGGTGGATGGTTTGTGTGGCCCATAATGTGCACACTCTCCTTACCAGCTGGATGACAACATTTCCAGCCTGTTGCGCAATACATTTACATAAAGATTTTCAACCTGTGTCCTGACCCATGTTTGGGGTCAAATGCAGTCAATATTAACACACTGATTTAGATTCATTTAAATATAACTCGTTAAAAAGCGGAACTCTATTTCATGATCTGTTTTGGAAAAAGTGATCGGCTTAAGTTGAATGGAAAAAAGTTTGGAGGAATTAAAGAATGTATTGATTTCTAATGTTAAGTTGTCCTTTATTGATCGGCGTAAGGGAAATTCCTTCTCTGCCTTTGACCCATCATAAATAAATACCAGCTCCACATCTGAGCCTGTGCCTATAGGTCAAGGACACTGACTGGAGGAATTAACATGTTTTTGACCCATGTAGATTCTATCTGAGCAAACAATCCCATTTAGTTTTATTCACAGAATTAGACAAAAAATAGATATAACAAATAATACAGATGTAAGCCACCCCTTAAAATCAAGGCCTTGCGACCCACATGTGAAGCTTTGGTGACCCCCCAGGTTGGGAACCACAGCTGTAGGGAGCGAGATAAACTGATGAATGAAACTGATGAATCTGACAATATATATATTATATATATCTTGTGCACCTCCATAACTGTAATCTTTGGTAGTTATGCTAGCTTGTACAGTGACATCCTATTAACACAGCTGTATCCTATTGCTCTTATTTGGACAGCGCTACAGAGGTTCTACACTGTAAAAAGGAAAGTTGAAAAAATTAATAATTTCAAAACAACTTCCTTCACTAAAGTTTTAGGTCAAACTTAAACTTTTAAATATTGCAATAAACAATCGACCTTTTCTTAAGATAATGTTTTTTTTTCTTTAGAATACACTTAAGTCTGTTTTAAAAACAACATTTGTCCAGAGTGAGCTGTGAACTCTATTTTTCATTATGTGGGTGCTTGAAAATGAAATAGTGGCAATTCAAAAAAATGTTTTTCACTTTGATAAGTTTTAACATTTTTTTATATAGACATTTCTTTTTGCTTACAAAACCTAAAAACTTATCAACTTATTATAATTAATTACTATTAGTTTATTTAAAAACTTAAGTTTGAGTTTGATTTAAAACTAATGAAAATAATGGAGTTATTAAAATTAAAATTTACAGCACTCAAAAAACAGATTTTTTCGTATAGTAACATTACCTTAACAGTCATAATTTTTACATTGTAAAATTAAGATTCAGTGAGAACTAGAATTTCTTAACTAAATATTTGAATTGTATTCATGGAATTGACCTTGCTGGCACACGTGACTTTGACGGCACAAAGCGCGACGCATGCTGGGTAGATTTGGCACTCGACGACACCAACAATACTTGATGCGGCACTTAGCGACAAGAACACCAACCAACATGTGCTCGGGTTGTCTTTGGTAAGTGACAAGTGACAGCTATGTTTTATAGGTCTACACCAGCGTTTGGGAAAGAGAATGGTAATATTAGCTAAATTGCTGTTTTTCATGTCATACAGAGGATAACGCTGTCGTGACG